ATGAGATTTTCATCAATTCAAAAACTAAAGGACTTAGTTCCAAACACTAGTGAGGTGCAAGTTCCTGAATGTTTGCATGGTATTTTGAATCCCGAAGCACCGCAAATTAGGAAAAGCAAATGAGGCCGCATCGTGAAAGACTTTGGTCCCGATTTTCACTTGTATTTGGTGGAAGGTTCAAGGGATGAAGTAGGGGTACAATATACATATTGTTACCAAGATGAGAATGATCAAAGACCTTTAAAGAGGCAATGGATTCCCCGAGATGTTGCCTTTTGGAAGGAGGCAATTGATGATGAAATGTCATCAATTATGGAGAACAACACTTAGGTGTTGTCGGATTTCCCACCGAGTTCTAAACCCTTATGTTGCAAATGGATCTTCAAAAATAAGATGAAAGTGGATGGAACTGTTGACAGGTTCAAGGCTTTGTTAGTCATTCAAGGTTTTAGACAAAAATCCGGAATTGACTATTTTGACACATATGTGCCGGTTGCTTGAATTACAACCATTAGGTTGTTAATTTCTTTGGCGGCTATACACAATCTGATTATACATCAGATGGATGTCAAGACGGCATTTCTTAATGACGATCTTGATGAGGAAGTTTACATGAAACAACCGGAAGGTTTTGTTATGCCGAGAAATGAGCATAAGGTATGTAAACTTGTTAAATCATTGTATGGGTTGAAACAAGCACCCAAACAATGGCATCAAAAGTTTGATGACTTTATTTTGTCCAATGGTTTTAGTTTAAACCCATCGGACAAGTGTGTCTATAGCCGATTTGATGCCTTATGGGCGGGTGTGATCATATGTCTCTATGTTGATGACATGCTGATTTTTGGAACGAACCAAAATCAGGTTGATGAAACTAAAATGTTGTTATCATCAAGGTTTTCTATGAAGGACATGGGGGAGGCGGATGTGATCCTTGGAATAAGGATTAAACGGGTAAATAAAAGAATTGTCTTGACACAAGCTCACTATGTTGAGAATATTTTCAAAAGGTTTAAATATAGTGATTGTTCGCCCGTTAGTACTCCCATGGATCCTAGTGTGAAGTTGATGCCTAATAAAGGAAAGGTAATATCACAACTTGAGTACTCTCGAGCCATTGGGTGTTTGATGTATGCCATGACAAACACCCAGCCGAATATTGCTTATGCCGTGGGTAGGTTGAGCCGGTATACTAGTAATCTTAGTACTCAGCATTGGCAAGTAATGAAGATATTGTTCAAGTATTTAAAGGGAATTGTGGATTATGGTTTGTGTTATTTTGAGTATCCTTTGGTGTTAGAGGAATATTCGAATGCAAGTTGGATATCCAATGTAGAGGATCATTCTTCTACAAGTGGTTGAGTATTCTTGCTTTGGAGAGGTGCCATTTCTTGGGCATTCAAGTTTGTATTCTAGTTGAGTATAGAAACTTGTATGTGTTTTATCTTCAGGTATTCAAATGGGTTGACGGGTTCAATCCATATGACACCCTGATTCTCGAATTTTTGGAATGTGTAAAATAATACGGTGGGAATTCAATCGTATCGACATTTCCATTTATGTGCAAGTTTGGTTTGTAAACTTTGTTATGTCATTTCATGGGTTACACTAAAATAGGGGAGGATTGTTGGCGATTTTAGTGTCACCGGCCGTTTTGTGTAATTGGAAATGAGATGAGTGCCAATGAGAATTAGAACTATGATCTAATACAAGTTAGTAGGTGCGGAGTGCACATTTGTATATAAGAATTAGTTTAATTCCAAATTGTCTATGATAGTGGAACTCGAGGTAGAACTTGAGGTATAACTTTCAGTAGACCAGCTCTGTGGTTCTAGAGCGAGTTCTAGAACGGTTGGGCAGTTTCGAGCAGTTTTCCAAAAAACTGTCACGATTATTGAGGGGCTGTCATGATATGGTGGAGTAGATCGAAGGAAAACAATTTAATCTAATGAAATCGGTTCGTATGAGAGTTTATGAAGTACGATTGTGTGGTAGAGGCAAATTCAAAGAGGAAAGAATACACTAATCTAATGTAAGGAAAGATCAAAGAGGAGAGAAAAACATGAATTCTAGAAACCATCTAAGTTTTTTTGGTTAGCGACTAATGCGAATGGGTCCTTGAATACTTCTAGAATTGATGCACTAAAGTTAGAAGTCCAAGAAAGAACCGATCATCGGAAGGCATGACCTTTGCTCATGTTGTCTTTTTTGGCCTCTTGGAGAGGAAGTGTATGACAAGAGGATTCACAATGATAGAAAAAGAAGAAGCTAAAAAGAGAAGTTGAGGAAACGAATGTCAATAATCACGTTAACGGACTCGAGAGATGTTTGGATATATTTCTTGAAACTTCTTTTGCTCCGTAAAAAAGCAGAAGTAGATATTAGAGTGTTTGAGTGAAAGTGCAGAAGTACTTTTGGGTGCTCCAAATTGCTCGCAGAAAGAATTTTTTAAAAGCCAGGGGGGTTGGCTTCTGAAAAATGATTTTGGATCTTATGTTTTGGAAAAAATAGAAGCAGAATCAATTAAAACACCCCTCAATCTCTTAAGGGAGGATGATAAATTTCAAGGTGTGCACCTCAATGCGGGTGGAATCAAGGTTCTATGTGACAATGAGTCATAGTCTTATAGTGTAGATAAGAAAAACATAATGTAAAATTGCAAACCCTCCGTGTAGGGACACGGAGAACTTTAGAAGATCTCCATTTTCAACATTTTGGATGTATTTCTAATACCTTCGGACTACAAAGATGTTTCTATTTAGACTATTTTCAGTCCTACAATAGATAAGATCATATCAAACCGGACTAGACTTGAATAATTGTAAAATACACAGAGACCAGATATTTACCAGACCCGACCAATTCAGACCAGACCAATTCAGAAAAGACCAGATCAGGCCAGAAAATTTCAATCCAAGTAAAAGCATCCCAAATCGTCTAACAACTATGGATCATAATAAAGGGATTTCTTTTATTAATGACTAAATTGACCCATTTCCAAAAGGGATTACTTCTACATATCGATAAAAACGTGAGTAACAATGTAATATTTTGAAAATCATGATGTCACGATTAGATTCTTAATAACAAATTTTGTTTTTGCCACCACAGATGCCATTGTTGTCGTGAAACATGTTATTACGACTATTGGAAAATTTTGTAACGATGTTATTCAAACCGCCTATGGCAGTGTGGGTAAGATCTGAGCTAGATAGCCGTGTAGTCTATTTTTGTTGTTTTGGGAAGGTGATGAGGCATCCTTACTTGGGATGGCCACGACAATTTATGTTGGATGTATTGCACATATGATGTACATAAACACTTTTGGTATATATATATTTACAGTTTATCCAAAAAAAAAAAGGTAAGATCTGAGCATAAATTGGATATAAATACAATGAGAAAATTTTGGATTAATTAAAAAAAATTGAAGAAAGGAAAAATATTCACTTTTTGAGTTTGAAAAGGCTATTAGTAATATTCGTACTCCGTATGATTTTTCCTTATAATTATGATTAGTGATAGGTGTTCCAATTTTTGTTTGCCTTTTATCGATTTCCACTCCAATTCGAAACACTTTGGAATAACCGAATAACCACCTATCAAGTAAAAACCATGCTATGTTTGACATTATTCACTTCGGTTCGGTTTGAATTAATAAAATATTAGGTTTAATTGATTTTCTTTATTAGTTCAATGATTATTTACACTTGATTCGATTAAATATGATTTGTATAAATAATGCCAAACTCAAAACGAATTATATATGATTTTCACTTTGATTTAATTTGGTCAGGTACGATTTGGTTGGCCAAAGTTAAACTGGAATCCCACCCTATAGCAATATACGGAGTAGCATCTAAATGAGATATATATATAGACAATAAGTATTAAAAATAAAATTAAAGAGCTGTGTAATTGACTTTTGAAAGTATATGGTTGAAGTAATAATTATGGAAACTTAAAACTGAACAGGTACTACTTCCTTCCATAAGACATTAAAATGATTGAATTTGGTGTGTTTTGGATTATTTAGAGCATCTCTAATGCTAAAACGTTAACGGTGCATACGTGGCATAATAGATAGCCAATCAAAAAACAATAAATAAAATATCTTTCTCCTTATTTGAAGGATTTATATCATTTTGGTAAGTTTTTCTTCACAATGTCAAGCACAACGTCTAGATGTAGACACTGTGATTGACATTGCAGAGAAAAACTTACCAAAAACACAAAAGACCGTGGAAAGACGGAGAGAGAAACGTCTTAAAATCAATCTTTTGTGTCTATCTCTCTCATGCCACATGTGCACCGTGCACGCTGTAGCATTGGAGATGCTCTTAAAAATATACTAGTAACAAGAAAAGTAAAAGATATATGATCGAGATTTTATAGAGGTGCAAGAAATAAGTGAAAATATAAAATATTGTTCTTAAGGAAATTATTTTTGTTTAATTAATAATTAAAATAAAAAAGTTGGCAAATTTGGAAAGTCTAATTAGGCAAAAGTTAATTCGAGTTACTTTTTAGAATGTTTTTATTTCATTATTTTGATCATATAGATCAGATTAGACTGATCATATCAAATTTGACAGTTATAAAATACACATAAACAAAGGAGACCAAAAAATTTGAATCCAATTGAAATCCTTCTTAATCCATTCTAAAATCTAAACCACAACATCGTTCTTAATCCATTCTAAAATATAAACCACAACATTAAACAACATTATTAGGTTAAATAAATAAACCCAAGCACCAGTCGCCGCGAAAAGAGCCAAACAGTCAATTAGACAGACGGCGAAAGGAAGGGGGGTGTCCCCAACATGGAATTTAAGGGATTTTAATAGAGTTTAAAATTCCATCCAAATCCAGGTGTCCTCAATTTAGATTTCTAAAGAATCTATTAAAATCCGGGTATCCACAAACATTCCATGGATTTTACTTATTGATTACTTTGATGGACTTTGATGGATTTTCAAGCCAAAAAACTGAATAACCCCATCCACCAACAATCTCACCACCACCCCTTGGATTTCCAAATCCATTTTAAAAAAAAACCTTGCGCACGTATTCTCTGTGCCGGCAGATCGATCGACGCATTCCCTGGATTCTCTTTCATCTTCCAACTACACACCTTCTTCATCTTTCAAGTATTCTCCAGATACGATTTTCTCCAAATTTTTATGTCTTTCTCACGTATTCATCTGTCTACAAATATCTGATTTGTAAACTTTTTCAATTTCATTCTCTGAAGTTCGTATTCATTAAAAAGCAGCATGTTTTTATAAAACCTGCGCACACTTATTCATATTAAAAACATGTTTTTTAACAGTCCATGCGTATTCAATAAAACACTTCATTCTCTTAAGTGCGCATTCATATAAAAACAGCATGTTTTTATAAAAACAGGTCATGCTTGAATATGTTTTTACAGTCCATGCGTATTCATCATATACGGAGTATATGAATATGTTCTTACCTCAAATAAAAAACATGTTGTTAATATGTTTTTAAACATGCTGTTAAAAACATGCTCGTGGTAGTCACATACTCGATATCATCTCATTTATAAATGGATCTGTTGGCTTGAAGGGCTGAAATATACTATTATTTTATATTAAAATATTTTATCATCAAAATATTCTGATGACTTTTACGACGGCGGTTTGCAGCGGCTGAGCAAGTGTGGGGGTGGGGAACTAGGGCAGCGGTTTGCACCGGCTTGTATTACAAATCTATTGAAATCCATATGATTCCATGAAATAAAATTCCATAGAATTCCATATGAATCTCATGGAATCTGTAGAATTCGTTTAAAATGCATAGAATCTACAATCATTTAAAATCCTTTAAAATCCCACTTGAGGACACCCCCGGAAGATTATCTATTACGACAGTATTTTGCAAGGGAGCTGTTGAAGGTGTGGCTGTAGAATCATGGCTAAAACAAGGCATCAAAAGTCCAAACCAAGTAACAAGCAGAACAAAGTAGGACTGGTCACTATTCGTCTGTTTCCTATTTCTACTTCACTCGTTCCCCCGATCACCCTGGACTACTGTATTGTTGAACTCCGACCCTTTTACTGCTAAAAGCGTTTTAGCAAATGATTCATAGTCAAATTGTTTAAAAAAGTGTTCTTTAATCGATACATTCATATAACAGATAAAAAAGCATGGGAAGAATGTCGATATATCTGAATTCCAAGCACAGGTCGACGCTTTGGGCTTAAAGATTATTCAAGTTACCGCAGATGGTAACTGTTTCTTCAGGTCTGTGTGCTTTATAATATGCTATAATGATGCATTCTTGGTTAATTTTTCAAGAGGAGAAAGAAGTTGCTTGTAGCATACTAGTGTCTAGATTTTTATGGTTTGGAGAACCTTAAGGAGTTCTGGTTGCACTTATTCTGTGTTTTCGTTGTTCTCTTAACATCCCTCCAGAGCAGTAGCTGATCAGTTAGAAGGCTGTGAAGACCAGCATGAAAAATACCGGAGTATGGTTGTGCAATACATCAGGGTAAACATCTTGGGAATGATTTTTAACTATGTCAAGCAATAAAGTTATGATCTTTGCTGTTAAGGGGCCGTTTTAAGGGAATGCAAGATAATCTTAATCTGTTTGATATTGTTAGGGATAGATTTGGAATAGACTAAAAACACAACCAAGCTGATCTTACATTATCTTAGAATCCCAAGATAATGATGTAACCTCAACACACTAATTTATTTTCCTACGTGGTGGTAATATCAAAGTATCCCGCTAATATGGAAAATTGGAAACTAGAACCAAACAAGGTTATCTCTCGTTGCCTCTCACATTACCGTAATGTGAGATTATTTTAATCAAACGCTCCCTTAGTGTAGTTAGCTAGACTTCACATGACTTCTAATAGAAGCCCAATGATTGTTTCCACTACACATTTAACAGAGGAATCGTGAGAGGTTTGAGCCTTTTATTGAAGATGAGGTGCCATTTGTTGACTATTGTGAATCAATGGAAAAGGATGGGACTTGGGCAGGGCACATGGAACTACAAGCTGCTTCTCTTGTTACTCACAGTAACATATGCATTCATCGAGTACGTTTTACTTCTCACATCTCTACTTCTGTTTTTGTATAATCATAGCTAAATGATGTCCCTATAAGGAATTTGGTAACATGTTTTGACTTATGCTTGTCTCTATCTGCTAACTACAGTTTTTTCTTTGCTTATGGTGCTCTTTTGCTATCTAATGACTAATGATTGATTTGCAAACCATATCTTTCCTTTTTTACAGCTCAGGTCGCCTCGCTGGTACATACAAAATTTTGACAATCATGAAGCTGTGATGATCCATCTGTAAGCACTATTCTCTGATATTTAGAACTTATCTTTTTGCTCAATTGATCTATAAGAGTAGAGGGGCTCAAGGAATAGTTGCATGGTGTAGAAAGTGGAATTTAGCTGCTACAGTTGAACAACTTAAACCTTTTTTATAAGTCTGTGAAACTAGACAAAATTAGTTTTCTCATAGAAGGAATTGGATATATATAAATATGTAGCGACCCTACATTAATCTTTTTTGAGTTAAAAGCCTCCATCTGTCACCATATACGGGGGGTAGCAACATTTTTTAGTCAACTTCCTAAAGATACAAAGTTTTACGATACAGGGTTTTACAAGTTATGCATAGTCACTTACTCACCGATACCCCTAATATTTATCCCAACATTATTTGAAGTAATTGATCAAAGTTGCTTGCTACATGGCTCTACTAGAGTTTTACTTAAAAATTGAAGCTCACTTTCAAATCTGGACTTTGGGTTTTTTTTCTTGAAACATGACTCCCTTTGAGGGGGGGGGGGGGGATAAAAGTTTCTGTAGTTTCAATGTAAGAATGTTTGGTTATATATATATATATATATATATATATATATATATATATACCTTCTGATAAATACTAGTTTGCAAAGATTTTCTAATTGACATTGTGCAGTATCAGGATTGCTTTTACTGTATAATAGGTCTCCTTGTCATGTTTTCCTTCACTGTATTATTTTACCTAATGAAGGCTTATGTAATGAATTTAAGCTTTCGGCTGAACGCCTGAACACATTGCAGTATTTTTCTTCGTGCAAAGACTATGGAATAGTTTATACAGAGTAAATTATAACTAAGGAGATGCTTTCTGTATTTGTATGAAATACCTTACCAATAGAAAGAGTGTTGTAATTGCAGTTCTTATCATGATGGAGAGCATTATAATAGTGTTAGATTGAAAGAAGACACATGCAGTGGACCAGCTAGGCCAATAATCATCAAGGTTTTAAAAATAGTCTATTGTTACTTTTGGCTCATGTAATGAAATGATTAAAATTCTAATTAATTTTAAGTTATATAAAGGCTGATGCTGATATTTCAGCAAAACCCTCCAGTCAATCTGTAAAGACTTCCACCAAAGCTGTTAGGAAGTGTGTTAAATCAGTTATGTCCGGAAGTGGGTGTGAGGACGCCTTAAAAGCTGAGCAGGTAGTTTCAAAGATCACACTTATCTCATGATTACCCATTTTAATTAAAATAACTATTATATTTTTTTAATTAGTATTACTGAGAGGTCGCGGGTTCAAGCTTTGGGAGTGGTCTTTTGTCAAAAATTTGACAGGGGAAGGCTTGCCCCTTATACACCCTTGTGGTGGGAATTGGGAAACTTCCCCGACTTCCCCGGACCCTCGCCTTGTGGGGATGCCTGCGTGCACGGGGCTGCCCCCCCCCCCCCCCCCCCCCCCTTTATAATAAACTATAAAATGATTTGGTCTGGTTTTTCACATTTTATGCTCCGTATTTATATTGTTCAAGGCTCTACAGCAAGTAGGTGATGATGTGGATGCTGCGATTGAATTTCTTATAGCAGAACAAGGATCTGAAATTCAGTTTTTTGCAAATAATGGATCTGGATGTTTAGATCACTCTTTTCATGGTAATGGTCGGTCAGTACATTTTTACATTCTTCTACATGGTATCATCTACACCTACTCCCTCCATCCAAAAGAAAGAAGCCCCAAAGAGGAATCTTAGTTCAATATGATAGTTTAACCCATTATAACAGTATCCACTAGGTTAAAATGCAATATATAAGTATGTGATAAATATATAATCTTAAGCATTGTTTTGGATCAGTCAAGTACTTAGCTTAACATGGTAAGAAGTCCACTTATTTGTTTACATCTTTAGGCGTCTCATCCAATTTAGACCGAAGGTGCGTTGAGTACAGAAACACAAAAGGGGACATGCCATTTTTTTGAATCTAAAATCCATTGTAATAGTAATAATGTTTCTTTAATTTATCTAAAGGTTTCCTATGATTTTCCAAAACACAGTCACGAAGATGCCATCACTGAAATTTTTTCGGGCATCATAAGTGTTGATAATTGATATTGGTTGTCTATTATGTTTTGGTATAAAATGTTAGTGTAGGTAGTAGGTACACATCATCTCTTAAGGATTCCTTTGGTATGAGTTAGATGGGTACACCTAATTTAATATGGTATCATAGTTTGTTTTGATGTGATTTTGAGACGTCTTCCTACCCAATGGTTTGTCCCCTTCGTCTGCGGTCAGCTGGATTAATGCTTTTACATCTTTAGTTGTCTCGATATCCTGCATTGTTTGGGTGACATGGTGTATTAAGTATATCATACAAGTATTATTTTTCTACTTGGTTTGAGTCTTAAAGTGTAAAGTGATGCCCGCATCTAAGGATCCATTTGGAGCTACACTCAATGTAACATTTTATGAGCAATGTGACTTATTTTAAGAGTTACGATTAGCCAAATTAAATAACATCACCTTGGATCAAACATAACTCTTTTTTGTGTGAGATAGATTATCATACCCCTCATGCTCGCATTATTGCTTTTCTGTTTAGTAGTCTACTAGTCTATGATCGCACAACAACAGATCGACATGTCTGTAAATCTATACTCTATATATCCCCTCTACATTTACATGTCTTTAGAATATTGTGCATCTTTCATTCTTTCCAGATTTCAGTGAACACTTTCAAATTCCAACTACCAATTACATTTTACAAAATTTGGGCACAACTCGCTTTTCTTCTGATACTGGTTATTAGTGGCATGTGACTTTGAAGGAAACTGTGATAATAAAAATTTGGAAACTGAGGAATCTACGTCTGGGCGTCATTCATCTAACCATGGCATAGAAGGCAATCAAAATAAACGTGATCTGCAGCTAGATGAAAAGGTAGATATTTGTTACATTTATGCATTCTTACCGTGTAAAATGAAAACGTTTGGCTTCTTATTCTGTTAAATTTGTAGAAAGATACAATTTTGATGATTCTTTGTGCTGCAGAAAACTCCCCGAAATAAGGCATGCCCCTGTGGTTCAAAGAAGAAATACAAGTCTTGTTGTGGTTCTGTTGCTGGGAAGACTTCTGCCAGACTGACAGTGTAAGCTAGTAAATGAATACTACTGTTCCATGTATAGTTCTTGAAAAAAATCTTTTGCGTCATTTATTTCATATAACTCCGCAAAATATAATACTGTTTGTTTTTACCCGTATTACAACTTGTTAGGATGTTTTCAGTTGAACTTATTTCAGTCTCACTCAAACTAGACAGACCAGTTCAGGCCAAAATAGATTTACGTAGACTAGACAAAAAAAAATCCAGTGAAAACATCTTCATACTGGCAGAGTTTTTCTACAAGCTTCTAGCCTCTAGAATGGCGTAGATGAAAGAGGAATTCTCAAAGATAAAATACTGGCATGGATGGATATCAGTGGATATATCAATGTCAATGCAGGAAGTATTTTGAGCAATGAAAGAATAGTTCTTTAGCTTTTTGCCAAGATTGTACATAATTTTGGTTGACCCCTATCAATATTGAAGTCCTCAAACTGTGGAACTTAGATAAAAGGATTGAAAATATTAGAATATTTTCATCACTTTTGAAATTCATTATTAAATCAAAGACCCTGTGTTTTTAGTCTTTATTCTCGTCTTATCAACCTTTCTTTATCTTTTCTACCAAACACCATTTAACTTATTTTACTATCCTAGCTGAATAGGTTGATGAGAAAAGTAGTGCTAAAGTAACTTGAAGTATCACCCCCTCTCTACCCCTACCTGAAAGCCTGAAACAGATATAATTGAAATTTCTATTATTTACATATTTTTAAGTAACTTTTCTACAATAAATAAGCACATTTAAATAATTTGGTTACAACTTCAACAGCAAACCAGCCCCTTCAACATAATCAGCCACTTAACCCACTGCCAAACAGGCTACGGGACACAAACATATTGGGGCTCTTTTGGTATGATTAACATTTGCTGGAGCAGATGATTTGGTGAAAATGTGGCTGAAAGGGTTGTATATGACAAATGACTTGAATTGTGTAAAAATTAAATTTAAAAATACATCAAAGAAAATAATCCCCGTATATAAAACTTGATTCATGTTGTATATAAAAATGAAGCTATCATGCACTGCCATTTAAGCCAAAATAGTAAATTTGTTTCTTGTTTTTCATCATAGGCCCAATTTTTAAATTTCAGCAAGTATCCTGCAGAAAATTATGCTCATAATAAAAGCTAATAAACAGAAAAGTTACGCCTCTGTTGATTTTTCTTAAAGTCATTAAATATGTACATTTCCTTGCAGTAACGATAATGGAAAAGGGAGAAAAGACAAAAAGCAAGGAAAGAACGGTAGACCTGCAAACGTTGCAGGTTCTAATCATCAATCTGATGCTCCTGAACTACCTGATATGGGTGCACTTTGTATATGATACTTTTGTATAATAATGCAGATGTCTCTTTCAAATCTCCAAAATCGAATCTCAACATATAAAGATCCAAACATGTGACTTGCAATTCATTTGCCCTTTGAAAGATATTGGTGTTTGGGAAATGATCTACTACGTATAAGCTTGTTTTTGGTTATTTAGAGCATTTTAGTGCAAAATTTGAAATGGGCACACGTGACATAAGAGAGATAAAATATACTCGGGGTAAAAGTTAATAAATAGAATATATCTTTCTTTATTTGAACGGTTTTATATGTTTTGATAAGTTTTCTTAACAATATTAAGTACAATGTCTATATGTAGACATTGTGATTGATATTATTGAGAGAAACTCACCAAAAATACATAAGAGTCTGGAAATATAAGAGTGAAATGTCATGAACAAATTTTTTCTTTTGTGTCTATTTCTCTCATTCACATATGCACCTTGCACGTTATAGCATTGACGAAGCTCTTAGAATGGCCTTGGTTGTTTGACATGGTTAAATAATGTCAAATAGCTGTTTTGATTTGGCTATTATTTGTGAGAATGATCTAAATGAAAAATGGTAGAATTTTCTTAACGCCTTTTTTATTTAATGTCTCAAAAGTCAAATCTACCCTCTAATTATGCTTCTTTTTAAAATAGTTAATACTCCGTAATTATTTAAAATAAAAAAACACTTGTAATAAAATAAAATTAACAATGTAATAGCAATGATAATAAATATCATATGATACTGTCACTTATACTCAGTACTCAGTAGTACAGGAGTATTAGTTTACAACAAGCAAAATTAAAATACTCAAACCAAAACAGATCATAGCAAACCAGACTTGGACAGTTATAAAATACTCAGATATCAAATGTTCGAATCCTGCAGCGACCGAGTGGAGGTTACACCCTTTGAAATGGGTTGGACCTCTGGCGCGCACGGGTATATGGGCCTACTGCCACTCCGTTGACTGAGTCACCGTGATTTACATCCTCCCATCAGGGCCGGCTCCAGCGACTTGGAGGCCCTAGGCAGAAAAGCTTCACAAAAGCTTCAATAAACGTACTCCATATGTTCTTTATTACTTGCCCCCTTCAACTTTGGCACGAGTTTTAAAAGGAAAATAAGAGGTAATATAAAAGGTGTAGTTCGTTGTGTTTAAATGAAAAATAGGAAAAAGTAAAAAAAAAAAAAGAGAATGAAAGTATATAAATATATTTATTGAAAAAACTTTTCAAAAATGAAAAGAAAGATAACTAATGAAAAATATCCCAAAATGGAATAAGAGCCAAACACCTAGACAACAATTCTCAATAAAGTAGGCAACGGCACACTCTAATATTATTACCTCGGTCCCACTATATTTGAGACAAAAGAGTGTAACACAACTTAAAAAAATGGATTTGTGTGATTGATATTGGATTGATAAAGTGTGAATAAAGTAAAAATGAATTCTAACCACCCAAATATTACCAAATATGGTACGAGACAAACTTAATGGGACAGACGAAAAAGGCAAAACGGGACAAAGTTAGTGGGACGGAGGGAGTACTATGTTAGAAATGCACACTTCCTTGTCCACAATTTACTAGCAGACTGCAAACTAGCAGAGTAGTAGCAGTTTATTAAATATGGAGTAAATGAGACAGAAATAATAATAAAACTGAAAAAAGCTAGAATTGAGTAATTGATTTACGAAACTAGAATGTAGAAGACTAGAAAGCTATAAAATGTAAGGAATAAAGACTAACCGTTAAAGAAAAGATAATACTCCGTATATGCAATTGGGTAATTGACGGAAGATTGGAAGAATTTGCAAGGTAAAGTTTTTCATACGGTCATACCTTTTAGTGAATAGGCGATTCCGAAATTTGGACTTCAAAGACCTTTCTTTTTAAGAACTTTTGCTAAACAGCCATCGCCTTTTTCTTTTTAAGATATTTTCAGTCACTAAAAGCAAACAGTTGTTAAAAAGCTCACAAAAATATCTTTTTAGCTAATTGTGTCAAACATACCCTCACTCCTGATTAATGCCGGTTGGTTCAAATGTAGAGAAGCAACTTGAGAGTACGTAAGGATGGATGTGCGTTAACACAAAAAAGTGTAAACAATAAGGAAATCCATAGGTAGGTGGAAGTTGCTGCCATGAATGTAAAGCAACATGCTTTCATGGTTACAAGTTTGTCACCCGTCAAAAAGTATATGTCCTTGTAAGAGATTTCTCGGAGTGGGGAGACAAAGATTTGGGTTGAACCGTTGAAAGTGTAAAGAAAAAGTGGACTATGGGAAACTTAAAAAGAGTCCAGAGAAGACTCCATTTGACTTGTATTCAAAGCGTAAATACTCCATATAACATGGACTTTTGGAGCGAGGACACTTTGAAAATAATTCAGGATACCCTGAAAATGGGCTTGGATTGAAAGTGTAAAGAGTGACTTAGAGCAATACAGTCTTGTGTCATTTTCAGACCTGTTTTTTAACCTATTTGAAAAAACCTTACTTGAATATGTCTAGTTTTATTTTGTAGGAACTTGACCGTTGACTCAAGCTCAGAACCATTTTCGATTCAAATAGAATGATGGTTTGCATCCACATTAAGGGAGTGTTTGCCACTTCATCTACCTTTAAAAAGTGATTTTCTGAAGTTATTATAGAGAAAATGTTTAATAGTAAAAGTTAATAGTGTTTTAGAAAAAAGTGATTTTAAAAAAGTAAAAATGATTAATGTTTGATAAAATAAGTGATCTTTGTGTAAAAGAAAAAAATGAAAGACACTTTAATGTACCTCTCAACCTGCTTCTACCTTTTACTCCCTCCGTCCCTAAATAAACTTTCAACTTTCCTTTTTCGTTCGTCACAATTAAAACTTCCACTTTCCTTTTTTGGCCAGAATTTGTGGTTCACAGCAGATCTTACACATTTCTCTCTCCTCTGCACAACTCTCCACCACACAATACCCACTATCTTAAACTCCGTGCCAAACCTATTTGGAAGATATAATAGGGACGAAGGGAGTAGCTTTTAAGTGCTTAATTTAAATAGAAGTTGTCATTTGAAAACACTCACTTCATCTTTTTTAAGTCAAAAACCGAAAAAACATTTTTTAAATCTGTTGCAAACACTCCCTAAATAGCGTGGACAAAAGTCATTATCCTGTTGTGCCGTTCTGAAATATCCCAGAATTGTTTAGGATGTTTTTTTTATCTCGTACCTTTCTTTAACAAATTTGAAATGAAACATGTCCGGTTGTCTAGGACATGAGTTATCCTCATGGTATAACTAGGGGTGAGCATTCGGTCGGTCGGTCAAATAACCGACCGATAACCGAATAACCGACCAAGATTTTTCACTCTAATAACCGGCCGAAAACCGACCGATAACATCACTATAACCGACCGAAAAACATAGTTCGGTTTCGGTCGGTAACCGAATAACCGACAATAACCGACCATATAACTTTTTTAAGCATATTTTTTTCAAAAATTTGAATGCTTTAAATAAACATATTAGAAAAAACAATTGATACAAAAATGGATGAAAATAATTGATTTTTTACACTACAAAACAAAATGAATGAAATAATTGATCACATATAAAATGCTTTTTCTCCATTCATGAAATAAATAAGAAGAAATGAATTAAATTATCTCATAATAAAATTAGTTTTCTTACGTTGTTGGTAGCTTTTATCGTGCATGAGTGTTATTTTATCTCTTTTGGGTCAACCAATAAATACTAAATACATGAAATTTATTAAAATATGAGCGATTTCCTTAAATATTACTATCGTACTACATAGTACATACTCCGTACTAAAGTAAACTTAAATATGACTAAAGATAACACGGTATCCCATTCATGATTACTACTCCCTCCGTCCCCTTTTAAATGTCATGTTTTACCATATTGAGATGTCCCTATTTAATTGTCACATACCTTATTTGGTAAAGTTTGTGTGACTCAAAATCATTCTTACTTTATCAATTAATATCAACCACACAAAACCACTTTTCTTAAAACTCGTGTCACTCTCTTCCGGGACATTTAAATGGGGACGGAGGGAGTATACTATAAAATTGAACACAAGCATGCACATTAAAATTACAATTATAGTCATTAAAGTATGAAAAGACATTTGTATCCACAATATTCAATTTGGTCATATATTTGACATTATTTCTTAGAGTAATTATGATATGTTATTAAGTGAAACATCATAGCATATGTGAAGTACATACAAATGTTTATACGGAGTAGACTATATTTCGGTTTTCGGTTAACCGACCGATAACCGATTAAAATAACCGACCGTTAACCGAATAACCGAATAACCGACTTCTTTTAATATTTAATAACCGATGACCGACCGATAACCGACTTTTTCGGTCGGTTCGGGTATCGGTTTTCGGTTTTATCGGTTTTATCGGTTATTTGCTCACCCCTAGGTATAACATGAGTTTTTTTAGCAGCGCATTTGCCCAACTTGTACTACCAACCCAACTTATCTATAAGCTTAGATTTCTTTTTTAATTTGTAAATTTGTATATGAGTATCATACAATTAGATCACATTATTTTCAATAAACTACTTTACTGTTAGCTTGCTTTAATTAAATCCTAAATTGATTTTTACCATATTAGTTCGTTGTTTTCCAAATTTAGTAAAAAGATAAACGTAGTATAAAGTTTTGGGAAAATGGAAACTAATAATCCAATCTTTTAGCGGTCTTCTTTCAATAATCCCACCTTTTGATTATTCATGAATAATCCAACCTTTGCACCTCATCTTCATTCACTGGTCCCTGACCGGTTGATGACCTGCTATTCCAAGCTATTTTCTAATCTTTTCAAATCATTATACCATAAATCTCATCTTTCATAAAGATAATATTTTGGAAAGATAAGAAAATAACTTGGAATAGTAGGTCATTAACCGACCAGGGACCAATGAATGAAGATGAGGTGCAAAGGTTGGATTATTCATTAACCGACGTAGGGATTATTCATGATTTTGTTGATGATAAAATGTTATACTCAAGGGAGATATGCTTTCCATCATTACTTTTATTAGATTCATGAAAAGTTTCAAAGTTGTGGCAGGAGTAGCTATAAATGTCAAAAAATCAAACATATACTTGATGGGGTTAGACA